CCCTTTCTGTAGGGACAAAATCTTGAGGACCTACACACCATTCTTGTAGCAGGTGGTTTCTGACTTCTACCCGAGTCATCGGATTACAATACCCTTCTTCCAGAAACTCACTCTGCCCAAACCTTCTCCTCTGCACTCACTCAGTGTCAAGAGGGCTTTGGCTTATCACCTTCCTAGGACCAAGTCCTTCTTTAACTCTGCAGTTCTTTGCAGCTGCAGTGAAAGGTCCTAAGAGCTCAGGATATCAATCCAGAGCTTGCCCACATGGATATCAGGCCGTACACAACTGGTATGAGACTGCAAAACTGGAGGTGCCATTATTTGCACCACTCTGCCAGAGCCCAGGTGTTTACCATACTTCCTTTCACAGTAGCTCAGTATACAGTATCTGCAAGTCAGTTACAGAGAGCTAAGTATGTGCCCGCTAAGTGTTACACTATTATGGCCTCCAGGGCAGATGCTGTTTTTGAGAGGATGGTTCTCCAGTTGCTGTTCACCAAAAAGGGACTCTTGAGCCCAACCCCAGAGCACGTGTGTGCTGCTTTGGAATTTATCGAGTGAAAGTAACTGGAGTTCAAAACATATTGGCCATATTCACATTGCTCCCCCTGCCTGTTTCTCTGAGGCACAGACTCTTAAGTATGGCCCTCTTGGGATCTGGGGTTTGGGGGTGAGACAGGTGCTGCTGATGGAAAAAGTATCTGGTCAAAGGTTCGTGAGTGAGAGTACACGTGTGGACAGGCTCAAAGTATTCCAGTTATTGGTAACTTTCAGAACTACCGTTTTGCTTGCTTTTTATGTAGAAAGCATAATCTCTCTCTGTTAGATATTTGTACTATAAAATATTACAGGTCAGCCTGACCCAATTTATTTTGCTGGTAAAATCTTTTCTCAACAGATAACTTGTCACCTTTATTTCATATGCCCAGTCACTGTGAAAACTATCTTTTTGTGGGTGGAAGTCAGTCCTAATAGACTTATCTTCTGAAGCTTGTGCATCCGCAAGGTGACAAAGGGACATCTGCTGGTTTCACATAGTTGCGCATTTCTGGGGAGATTTAGTTTTTGCAGTTTAAATTTTTTTTTATTTACAATTGGCAGGGAAGTCTAGTTGGCCTGGTGGATTATCCTGATGATGAAGAGGAAGATGAAGAGGAGGAGACATCTCCAAGGAAAAGACCTCGTCTTGGTTCATAAAAACCTTGGAATAAACTTTTATTGTGGGGTCTCAAATGCTGCAACTGTTCAAAGAGCTAAAAAGAGTCTGAATCGGAAAGCTTTCTCCCTTGAATATATAAGATAATACAAGGAGTAGCAAAAGAAACTCAGTATATCAGCTAGAAAGGTTTAGTTCTATAAACTCAAGGCTTCCAAGGAACTTAATCTCTTTCTAGTAAATAAGGAGTCTGCCATTCAGGCTGTCAAGAAAAAAAAAAAGGTGGGTTAGTATTCAGAACCTGGATGATGGCTTCTCAACAAGGAAAGTCTCAGGTTTTGGGAGGGTCTGGGGAGGGGAAATAAGTATGGTAAACAATTTTTAATATTGCAGGGTTTTCCCCAGTGTGTAACAGCTAGGAAAAAATGTAAAGCTTCAACTTCAAACCCAGTAATCTTAATTTTGTAATGGTGCTGTCCGTTGTGTTTTAGCAATTGCCTCTTTTTAAAATATGAAGGGAAAATGAATTCTATTTGCAGAAAAATAAGTCCAGACTTTGGGACCAGTAGTTGCAAATTCAACCATGCTTCTGCCCGTGCAAGTAGGGAGCACCCTGTATTATAGTGCATGTTGAGTTGTTGGGTTTTTCAGTTCATGATTTGAAGCAGAGAAAAAGGAAGCCGGATTCAAAGTGGACAGTTGTGTTAATCTGCTTGTTTTTTAAACTAGATATCCAGTGATATCTATGCCAAGGATCAGTAGCTCTCGAGCAAATACTGAGAAACGGCTAGCACTAATAAAGTAGTGCTGTAAACTACACGAGTACAGCCAGCACCTCATGTTACGAAAGATACTAAACTGAGTCACGTTCTGCTTTGTTGTAGTGAAGCTCTCTCTCTTCCTTGAGCAGCAAGTGTATTTTCACATTTACGAGTTTAAATTGTATAACTGAGGTGGTAATAAGAAACACTAACCAGTTTTGAGTAGTGTTGAATTTAGTGGCATTTAACACCTGAGTCATTTTGGACCAAGATGGAATTATTACTAATAGTGCACCAGGCGATTTGAGGCAGAATCAACATGCAGCACCTGAATCTGGGTGTAATATGAAAGCTGTTGTTTTTTTTTTTTAAAGTAAGAAGCACATTCCATGTATGTAAGCAAATTGCAACAGAATAGGTCAATTGATGGAGGCAAACAATTTGAGGTTTTATTTTCAGAGCATCAGTGAACTGTAAATATTTTAATGTTAGTGTGCCCATATATGATCTGAGATCATGAAGTGAGAAGAAATTTCCCAAATTACAATTAATGTATCAGAGATGTTAAAATATGAAAACAGCTGGAAACCACCACATAGTTCACTCTTGTAATACGTGTTATGGGTCCATTTCTCCTGGAATAGTTTAAACTGAAGCAGTTCCCCTGTTTTGGAGATTTTTGTAGTTAATTTTAATTTTAGCTATTGTTTGGAAAAGATGGGCTGTCTGTGTAGATATGAAGTATAGTTTTTTCCATAAAACAGAAGTTTATTTTGTATTAAAAATACCACTGTACTTGTTTTACACCATTTGTATACATGTGGTGATATTAATGCTGAACTGTAAAATTCAGGAATTAAAATGTGACCCTGTAATTCCATAATTATTGCTTTTGTTTGGTTTGTTGTACATGGTAAGTCAAATCCTAATTTTGAAAGGTGACCATTTTAGAGTATACTGTAATGAGACATGCAGTTTTTAAACAGTCAGTATATACCACTAGTTCAACTACCAGACAGAATGTGTGAGTTCTGAGCACCCACAAGCTGGACACAAAGCATTCTGATGGGTGACAGTTAATGTGCGTGGACCTGGGGGAAATACATTGTTGCCCCTTGTGGGCTCCAGGCAACCAAGAATGGGGCTCCCCCTCCTATCCATCTGAAATAAGAGACCTTAAAAGCTAAGGCAGCGAGGAAGTCAATCCTTGGCTGGTTCAACCAAAATTGCAGTGTTGTAACTAGTTGCTCCCTTCCCTGATCTCCACTTCAGGGTTGTGGTTTTTTGTGACCAGTCTCCCTTTCTCCCCCCCTTAAAGATAACAGATTCCTATAAATCTATACTTAGCTTTAATGAAGAAGCTCAAAAGTCATGCAGTATGTGCCTTTCCCCTTCAGAGGCTCAAAACGCATCAATCATCACCTGATCTGTAACATTAGTTTATCAGGGTTTTGGTTTTGTTTTTTTTAAAAAGAAAGAAAGATGGATTACCCCAAAATGTGCTTTCATTGTTTTTCCTCTAATTTTCTTTCTGAAAACTTGTCTGGAGCTTTAAGGATACATTCAGACCAGCTTTTGAGCTTTTTTTTACAGTATGTGAATGTCATGGATTTTTCTAGTTGCTCTAGAATAAAACTATAGGAAAAGACATTTGATGTTATCTTAAGGCTTTGGATATTTTTATCAAACTTTTTAAAACCCTTTTTATGGGTGACACATTGTGTTCCCTCTGGCTAGCTAATCTCCAGGATCACCTGCCTCAGGCAAACCAAGATTCTTCTCCCTGATATACCACATCCTGTATGGATTCTGCTATGGTACAGCCCACATTCTAATGCCTGGGGCCCCTCCACTGCAGATTTTTTTTAATATTACATCTGCCAACATGTATCAGTTATAAATGCTATTTTAATAAAAAGTTACATGAAATTTGGATTGGCTGGGTTGGCTTTTATTCACTTACTGCTCTAGATAAAAGCTTGCAGATACAGGTCTTGCAGGGGAGAGATGGGGGGCAGTTCTTTTCCTCTGAGATGACTAGTCTAAGCAGCATTTATGGTAAATGAAATGGTAACACTGATTTCAAGATCTTGAATTCTGGGATGAGACCAAACAAAGCAACGTGTCAAACTGAAAAGGTACGCATGTTTTGTGCAGAAAACATCACGGGTTACTGAAAAAAGGCCAGGGAAGTTTATAAATAAAGGAGCCTACAATTAACATGGAAATTGCCTGTGTCTCCTGACTTAAAAGGTTTCAGTTGCATTTTCTGTGTCTTAAACATAAGATTATCAAGCAGTATTTCCTTGTTAGCTAATTAAACTTTATTTGACAACTGAACATAATTATTTGCTATAATGACAGATTCTAATAAAAGGAAAAAGTTCTGGTTTTAAGAAGTTTTCAGATAATATTCTCCATGTTGTAAACATTTCTAATACATTTTGAGATGGAAGTGTTTTATCTCTAGCTTTAACAAGTGTTTGAATGATTTAAAATCCATTGTTGTTCTACATATTATTAAGTGGCTATGGCCACGGCTTTAAAAAACAGGTGCCTAAATTTTGGATCCTGAGTCCTTACTGAGGTCCTCACCTTGTTAGGGTTCAGCATCCAGCAGATTCAGCTGATCTTTGTGAAACTGAGTTTTCAGAAATCTTAGCCTGCATGGTAAATGAGTTTTAAATCCAGTTTCAGCTCCATCATTGTTTTTATGTATATGAAGAATTGAGTTGCTCATGTTCTGTAAAATGCATATATAAAAATAATATGTTTGAAAGCAAGCACATCAAGTTGTTGGTTAAATAATTTATTCTAGATGAAATTCTGTTCTTTTCCTATGGCCTGAAATTCCTTGAACTACCGCTTATTAATAACTTCTTCTTTAAGTTTTGCTGCGAGCATTCTCCTCTTTAGCAGCAGTCTTTGCTTCTCCTCTTCTGACATTTCCTGAAAACAAAATTAAAATTCTGTTACAGTAAGTAACCTCAATGGCCTTGTGGAAAATGGTGAAAAAATACCCTTTAATAAGAGGAATCTTCCTTTGACAGGTCCAATGTTAAGCATATACCACAAAACCACAAGTCAGTTCAGACAGTAAATAAGATATTTTTTCC